AATGTATAGCCATAGGAACTAGTGCCAGCAGGCTAACGCTCACGCTGCTCGTGGCCACGAAGAGTACCGTTCTTTGCTTCTGACCCCAGAGCCTCCTGTCTTGGGCCAGAATCCATGAAACAGTCAAAGGCAAGCTTATTAGCTTGTAGGCAGGACAAAATCAATTCCCCAGCCTGAGAGAAGCTATATATAGCATTTAGGTTAACACATTTTTTTTTTCTTTTTGGGAACTTTAGGCACATAATCCTTGGTTTTATAACCTATGGATATTTGTCCATAGTGGTTGTTTTTTTTTTCTTTTGTAAGCAAATAACTTATGTATTTGCATATATATTTACAGTAATATTTTAATTTTTTTCCCTCTACAGATGTTCCTCATTCCTAAATTTTCTTCAGTTTTTATTTTCTTTCATGTTTTTCAGGTTAGATTTTGTTTTTTTCTTTAAAGAAATTACTGATTAGAACAACAGAAAAGAACAATTCTATTACCTTTTACATTCATATTATTTTCTTTTCCCTTTGGTTGAGCTGAACACTTGGTTTATTTTTTCCTTTTTTTAAATCATAACACATTTAGGGCATCAAAGATGTCTTTCTTTTCTATGTGGTATTTTCACCATTCCAATTTCCAAAAAAATATTCCTCAATAGTTTTATTTCCTTGTTGGGGGCGGGGGAGCAAGTAATACTAATTTAGGATGGCGATGACTGCTGTCACTTTCTCCCAAATACATAATACATATGTATTTACATATATAATATCTGTCAAGTTTTAGGGCAGATCCAGAGCACAGATCTTTAAACAGGAGGTAGGGAAGAGACAAATGATTCTACCTTTTTTTGGCTAGAAAGTTCTTGTGTTTGAAGTAGTAAGGGATTAGGTTTTAAGTGGTAAGCAGCTTGACTTCAGACTAAAAGAATGGGCCTAACGCTGTGTACGTTTACAGAAATAACTCAGACTGGCAGATGGGCGGCTGCAATTTATGTCCACAGTGTACAGCCCCAAAGAGTGTGCCTTTACTCTGCCAGTTGGTGGTCTTCCAAGTGGCCGACCAGACGGGCAGGCCACTGGCAACAGTCCGAGAGTCAGCATAAATGTACCAACTTTCACCAAGGGGTCAGAGACTAGTCAGGAATAGAGCACTGCCTTGAATTTTGTCTGCTGACTGCAGTGACCACATCTGCTTTTGGTGTTACATAGCTGTGGTCGACTGAACAGTAACAGGACCCTGAAGATACCACCAGCTTTAACTTAGCTGAACATAACAGTAACGCAGCCCAGGCATTAAGGGAAACCACTGTGGACTGAGGGCCCCACTGAGCCAGAACTTTACCTGAGGTAGTGGAATAGGGCACAGGGTTTGTCCCAAAGGGTTGCTACCACTTTTCCATGTAAATCGAAGATCATGATAAGGCAAAACAACTATGCACTTGAATATACCATTTTCAATCGACCAGGGACTTGTTGAGTCCCTCTATCTCGTTAGTCACTGAATCCTATTTGACCTATGCCAAAATGTAAAACATCAGATGTTAGAGTCACAAGGCTTCCCTGGGTCAGGCCGTCAGTTTCAGTACGAGCTTAAGAGCCCCCTAGGAGCTGCTTTTTTAAAAAGGAGTGTACTTGATGTCCGAGTCACGCAGGTGGCGCTGTTGTACTCGAAACTGCCTGTGGGTAGTCCAGCCGCCACTCAGACTGTAACTAAAGTTGGGATGGGATTCTGGCTCAACTTTCTCCTCCTGAGATTCTATGCTGTTCACCTGGGAACAGATGGTACATGTGGCAGTCTCCCCTGAGACTTCATGAGCATTCAGAGCATTCACAGTATAAACAGAAACAGTATCAGTGCCAAACGTAATTCAGTCATGGAAGCCAAAATAATAAAACTTCATCGAATTGGTCTAGAGATCATTTTAAACCCTTGCCCATCATGAACACCTTCCAAACCCCATCAGTTGAGTTTGGGTGCCTTTCCCTGTAGGAACATATATCAAGGAGCTGTGACAGGGTTATCAGAAAACTGCTCCCACCCAGCCAGGAGCAGAGAGTACAAAATGGCAGGGGGAGAGAGAGGAGGGCAGTAGGGAAAAGTTTTAAGTGTTGAGTTTTTGTCTTCCTCCAACCATGTGGCCCTTGTTCTTCCTCTTCTGGAAAGCCATGTGTCCATCATCATCTCACCCTTGTTTCTAAAACTGTCAAGAACTGTTAAAGATCTAAGGTTTGACTTTACCCTACTTACAAAACATTAAGTTAGGTTTTTATCATTTCCTGGTGGTGGGGGTGGGATGGGCAAAATATGGACCTAAATGGATACTACACAAATAGTGGGTGTACGTTGTAGCTGAGGGACACTATACTTGGGGAACCACTGTTTTATAGCAAGCAGTAAACAAGCCTGCTCTTCTTTCCATAGGGAAAAATCACCTCATTCCTCCAGGTTGCCTGATACAAACACAACCCTGAGAAATGTCTCAGGTAAAGAGCAGTCAGGGTCTTCCACTTTCTACTCATCAGACCAAGAACATGCAAGGCTCACAGGGTCCATTGCAGATGGCCTCTCCCAAAAGCTTGATGTTAACCTCTTTTTAATCTTAATTTTATATTTAATACCTAAATATTCAATATTTAAGAAAATTATAAAGGCAGACATCAAAAATTAATTTTAAAAGTCACCAAAATTGTTTTAAAAATGCACTAGGAAAAGAAAAAAAATGCACAAGGGCTGACAATTTCACAGTCTATTAACGCTATAAAGGGGAAAAAAAAGCTATAAAGGAATTGAAGATCTTGCCATTTGTGACAACATGGATGGATCTAGGGGGTGTTGTGTTAAGTGAAATAAGAGAAAGACAAATATATGATTTCACTTATATGTGAAATCGAAAAAGCAAAATAAATGAATTAAAACAACCAGAAACTGATAAATACAGATAACAAACTGGTGGCTCCCAGAGAAGGGGAAGGGATGGGCAAAATAGGTGAAGGGGATTAAGGAGGTACAGACTTCTAGTTATAAAATAAGTCACAGAGATAAAAAAAAGTACAGCATAAGGAATAAAGCCAATAATACTGTAATAATGTTGTGCGGTGACAGAGGATAACCACACTTATCATGGTGAGCACCAGAGAAAGTACAGAATTGTTGAATTACTATGTTGTGCACCTGAAGTGAATATAACGTTGTATATCAACTATACTTAATAAAATAAAAGTTCAATGCAAACACCCCTAAAACATAGCAGAAGTACTTTTCATAGAAGCTTAATGGATCTAAAACTTAAATACAAGTATCAAAACACCCGGTTCAGACTCCTTTGAGAAATAAACTGCTATATTTAAAAAAAAAAAAGGAATTGATCATTTCTATGATATACTTTTCTATGACATATATATGTACAAGAACAGAATTTAAAGAAATAACATGGTTGCCTAATTCACTGTATGAAGCTAAAATGATGGTTTTAAAAAGATAGCATTTATAATTAATAGCTAATCTCATCTATTAAAATAGAAGCATGAATCTTAAAACATAAGCAATCTTAATTTAATAGAAATTAAGATATCCCACACCATAACAAATGCAAAGATGGTACAATATTTTAATATACATTACCATACTACACAGTATGTCCAATGAGAAAAACTTTGTACTCATCTCAATAAATAAATAGATAACTTATTTCTGATTTTAAAAACATAAAATTACAAAACTTTAACATTTTAAAAGGTATGAACAAAAAAAGGTATGAACAGAAGACATACCATGTCATCTGTTGAGAGACTCAATATAATAAAGATTTAAATTGCTCTTAATCAACAGGTTTAATGTAATTCTAATTAAAATCCTACCAAGGCTTTTTAGAGAGGCAATTTGGCAGGAGAAAAAGGACTCTAATGTTATTTTGAAAGCATCAATAACCGCGAAGAGCTAAAAAAATTTGGAGGAAATAAAGCAGCAATGAAATTGTCCTGTGAGATATCAGAATATATTATAAAACAATAAATACTAAAACAGCATGGCACTGCTACAAGAAACAGTTAATGTACTGGACAGCTATGAAATAGAGCATAACATAAATATAATGAATATATAATCAACTAGTCACCTGAAGGGAAAAAGATCTGACTGGATCCTTACCTTTGATAACAATAACTTACATGGATTAAAAGTTTATGGAAAAATGAAAGGAAAAACTTTAGGAAAGCTACTGGAAAATAATAGTTAAAATCTCTCAGGTTTGGAAAAAGCTGTAAGTATAAAAACACACACATAAAAGAAAATTTGGGCTACATAAAATTAAAGAGGCTTCTGTATATTAAAATTAATATAAAATGCAAGAAAATATTTTAAAAGGTTTACAACAACCAAGAAAGTACTGATATGAATTACTAAGTATATATTACTGTTTAATATATAAAGAACTCCTTCAAAATTATAGAAACAACTTTAAAACTTTTTAAAGTATAAATAAATCAGACAGTAAAACATATACTGGTACTAGTAAATTAATAATTTCCTTTTGACTGCCCATCCATATCCATTTGTATTAAATACTTGGAAGAAGTAAAAAAGTTTTTAAAAATACATTATAACAAAGCAACTCTGTACTCTGTATTACTGTATTATTATTTTTTTATTCCCAAGTTATACATTCAGTTTATATTTAAAGAGATAGAGTCCAAATAAATGCAGTTTTGTGTGTTTATTTGAAAAAACAATCTAGGATTATATAAAACATATTTAATGTATTTTATGGTATTTTGGTATAATTTATATTCTAAAATCAAAAGCTTATGAGAAAAAATATTGAAAATACTTGTATATTTTAGAAAAGGACTTGAACTACCAACTCAGATAGATTCAATTTTTCAATAGAGTACATTCTTTAATAAGCAGTATCTTCATTATTAAAAATTTTTATTATAAGAAATTTCTGCTATTTCAACCCTCATCTCTTTTTATAAAGCATGTCTTTCACCATAGGCTATCATGAACTTACCTTGAAGTAGCCTTCTTCAGCAGCTTTTTAAGTTCATTAATTTTACAGGTGTGTTTTTTATGGATAACCACAAATGCATCACAGCCATCTGGCGGGGGCTCATCAGCTGCAATCTAAGATTTCAAAGATTATATTTAGCTACAGTAGTTGATAATTACAACATGATCTTTAAAACTCATATATTCCTTTGATTAAAATAACTCATCAACTACTATTAAGCTATTGCTCTAATTAAAGTAAAAAATATCTATACGCAGGCAGAATCAAATACTTGAACAAAATCAACTTTATAGTAGGGACATGCTTCAAAGTCACTGAAAATTGCCATCAAAAAAGAAAAAAAATGCCTTCAAATTAAAATTTTAATTATAGTTAATTTCAATAATCATTTGTTCTCATAATTTCCTTATTCCAAATAACTATAAAATTACATAATGTATTCAATTATAATTGATTAACAATGATAATACAATCAATGACAGGCTATGGAAGCAGGTATAAGTCTATAGGATTTTTTTCCCCAGGGTTTTGTCAGAGCGAGAGCGAGAGCGAGCGAGCGAGAGCGAGCGAGTGCGCGTGCATGCGCACAAGCAGGGGCTACTTCTACATACCTGTTGAAACATCTGAATAGTTGGTGAGTACGCCCTTATAGAGAAAGCAAACTTTAAGAGATTGATATGTAAATTGTCTAAGAATTGTCCAGCTTTCTTCAGGATTAAGTTGTAATGAGAATAAGCTGATTCTATAAAAAAAAAAAAATTCAAGAGAAAGGATGTTATTTTCATTTTCAACACATTGGCACAACTCTACTGTAAAGCTAACTTAGTATCATCAAATCTGAAGTTTGGTTATGGGTGGTGTTGGAGAAAAATGGAAAATCAAGATCTGGTTTATTAACTTCATTTGGATACTCCAGTGAAGTATACAATCAAGCGATAGGAGTCCAGGTGAAAATAATCCTGCCATTAAAATCTATTTGGAAGATGCCAGCATATCAGATTAATTCACTCAAAGGCTGTGGGGTTATAATACAAGGATAAGATGCAGGGCCTACCTACAATTTAAGAGGAGACTAAGAACAGCACAAAAAAATTAAATATGACTTAATAAATTTTAAATGACACGTATAAATAAATTCCACTCAGATTTAGTACACATAGCCTAGAGCAATTAGTGTGTCCAGAATGCTTTAGGAGACAGAATTTGAAGCAGACCTTAGAGCATACGAGAAATGTCTTCTTGTATACAACAAATAACCTGAACTGCTGTTTCCCTCCTCTAAACCCGTCTGCAAAGGTCCTGAACAACCAAAGAGGATGAATCCTAGAGTGTAAGAACTCCTGGGCACCCCTGGGGAGATGGAGATCATGTGGCTGGGAGAAGGACCGCAGAATGGAAGCCAAGAGCTGAAGAGGGCCTGGTGACACTCATGGGGTAAGCGGGGAAAGAACCATCTATTTTTGCCCTTTCCTCTTGTCTGCACCGCCTGGGGTGTAATATCATCTGCACTGTTGCCCCTGTGCCAGCCAGAGGTGGCAGGGCAACAGCACAACAGCTCTGGAGCCAGCTGGCATAGCCCCGTAAGCTGGCCCCATAAGCTGGCCCCCATAAGCTGGCATAGGCCCCGTAAGCCTGGCCCCCGTAAGCCAGCATGGCCCCTGTAAGCTGGTCCCCATAAGCTGGCCCCAGCCATTCTCTGCTCATTTCCTCACTCCTTTACTCCCTGGTACTAAGTTACCAACTGATAGGAGAAACTTCATTAAAAGAGCAGAGCTAAGGTAGACTCAGATCTTTACCTCACCCACAGATGTGAGGTTCCTGGATGTGAAAAGGGAGGACAAAAGGAATGTGTAACTACAGACACGCTCCTGTGGCGGGGGGGGGGGGAGAGGGTGCTGCGTGGAAGGAGAAACTTTGGGGGTACTGGGGGAGACTGGACCGTTTGCTGACTGCTACAGTGTCTACTACTTGTTCAAAAGGTGCTGGGCTCTTGACCCTTGGCTCCTCTCCTTACTACAACCCATTCATTCAGGTGTCACCTGGCCCTCTATGGTGCCCTGTGGGAATCGGGGCTCAGGGAACCAGCACAAATATGTGGACATGGGGGGTGCTGCTTTTTCTTTGAGTAATAAAGTCCTCCATCTCTCATCCAGGGGTTTCAGGTCTTCTGTAGCATCCATGAAACTAATCTGTTAGCTTGGAAACGGTAAAAATCTGAGATCCTTTACAGTACTTGACAGATCTGACAACAGAGATGGAATGCTGACAGATACACAGATTTTTGGAGGAGAAAAGACCCAGCCTCATGGGTCAACTGCGAGAATTTGAAGGAAGTCCTTATAAATTGATAGTGAATATACTGATAAAATTGTATGGTCAATCAGACAATCAATGGTCCTTCACTTTGTTGCCTATTATTGAAAAGAAAATAAGGAAGAGGTTACAGATCAAGAACTGGGCAGTAGATTCAAAGGCATTTACCCAAATGAGGTCTTAGTTGTTAACTCTCTTCCATGCAAGTGGACTTCCCCACCAGTGGTTTTGTCAGCTTCAAGTCCAACCCACTGTGACAAGTACAAAGACCTATCTTGGATTAGAATAGTTTGACCTTCTTCAGACAAGAGCTACGGACATGCATACCTACACGAAGTGAAAAAGGAAGGAAATCTGTTACCACTATAGACAGAAGGCCGGAAAGTCATTAGAACTTTTGCTTGCCTGGCAGAGGAGAGGATGGAGTACATAATGCAGAATTACAACCAACTTACGATTCAACAACTCCTACAGTCTATCACGCCAACCTGCTTTCAAACAGGACAGAAAAAAGCCTCAAAAGTTACTATAATGGGTCGTGGCTGAGAAGAGAGAGCTGTGGCCCACTTGGGAGATTTCCCTTGGTCAGTTAGAAAGTCTTTCAAGTTCTGATCCAGGACTCTCATGTCTCATGTCTTATGTTTGATCCTTGAAACCGTGGGAAGCTAAGTTTTTAGCTTGCAAGTAGGATAAAAAAAAAACTTCAGCCCCTTTACAGTTCTTGATAAAAAGCTCAAGAATGAGAGAACTAAAAAACAGGGGGATATGCAAACCGTCCTGAAAGAACTAAGGAGAGAACAAGAAAGAATACCAGAAAATACAGACTAAACTAGAGGTAACACAAAAGTAAAAAGAATCAGGAAAAACAGAAATAGAGAATATGCAGGGAAAATGTGAAGAAAGTGAAACAGAAATAAAAAGAACAGAAGATGAAAAAAAGATTTAAAAGTAAATGACAGATCCAGAAGTCCAGCAAAGGGGATCTATGGTATATATAATTATATCCCTGATGCAGAACATCAAAGGAATAGAAGAGAATGAACAGAGAACTCTCCAGAATTAAAAGGAACAGTGAGTCTACATATCTAAGAATGAAGACTCAGAATGGTTAGCACTGCAATATTTTCTAGTAAAACTAAGGGACTCTGAAGTTTAAAATCTGAAGTATAAAATTCATGCATACATAGTCCTGTATGTGAAGAACTCAAGGCTATTATTCCTAGTTGTTGTTCATGAGGCATCAACTAGGGAGCAAGCTTTACCTAACTGAGAAATAACTGGAGGAACTGTAGCATAAAGTTTGATGGTGAGCTCTGAATATACTTAACTGTAGAAACAAGACCAAATGAAGGAGCTGAGATTTACAGAAGACTATGTAAATGCTGCACGGCCCAGTGGTGCAGAAAAGCATACCACTGACTAACCTGCAACAAAGGGGAAATTAAGTGGAAAGTAAAGTAAGCTCGGTAATTCCCCATAAATGTTAGCTGGGAATAAAAGAATATCACTGAAGCCAACAAAGCAAGCAGTAGAAGCTCATGTATACTTAAGAATACAAAGATGAAAACTAAGAATAGTGGTGACCCAAATCAGATGGTGGTGAGGGGAAGAAAGGATCACTAGCTATCTCATCACTGCCTCTAGGGGACCAAGAGACCATACCCACAGAGAGAAGAGGCTAACAACGCTGGGCCTCCACACGCCACTCCTCTGGTACAAAATGCAGAAGGGTAAGCAGTGCATGCTCAGCCAACTCCTATTCAGCAAACCTCAGCTTAAGAGTCATTTGTTTTGGAGAGTTTTCCCTGACTCCCAGTCCAGATCCTGTTATACACGCTGACAGGTCCATACCATCTCTAGATCAAGTCTCAAAACTAATGAAAAATTATTTGTAAATTTGTTAATGCTGTCCCTCCCATTAAGCTATAAGCTGTGAAGGCAGGAATCTTTTCTAGGCTTTCAGTTGTACCTTTCTGCTCCTGGCATACCAAATCGGTCTTCAATACATTTCTGGAATTAATGTTTAAGAAATGTATAGGTCTCTTCCGTCTAGGCCGTAAGACATTCCTAATGCAGTACTTTTAAAGAGTTATATAGAATAGGCGTATGCTCATTCACTCCTACTTCTTAAACTATAGATGATTTCTCAGGGACTTATGGTGAGTTTCCCTCAAGAATAAAAAAATAATGTAAGACTCACCTTCAACAGTAAGAGCAGCACAGATCAGAGAAGAGATTTTATCTTAAAAACTCATCTTAAAAAAGATGTAATAGCTACAGGGCCAACAAAAAAATAGCCAGAATTAGTGTAATAGCCTAACTAAGACTGTATCAGTCAAAAAGGGATCAGTCATCCATGAAAACAGAGTCAACAGAAACAAATATGAGTCGTGCCTGACAACAGACATTAAATTTTGTCACCGGTCACTGTTAAGGTCTCTAATGTAGAGATGGATGTAGGGTTCAGGGGTTTAGGTTCTATAATTTAGGCTTAACTTGCAAGATCACCTCAATCACAAGATGGATGCACTGGACTATTTTAGCTGATGTTTTAAAATAACTAAATTCAGGGGCACCTGGGTGGCTTAGTCAGTTAAACATCCAACTCTTGATTCCAGCTCAGGTCATGATCTGAGGGTCATGAGACCGAGCCCTGCATGAGGCTCTGTACTGGATGTGGAACCTGCCTGGGATTCTCTCTCTCCCTCTCCCCCTGTTCACTTGAGCTCTCTATAAACAAATTAGATTAAAATAAAACTCAATCCAGGCTCACCCACTAAACTACTAATAAGGACTTTGCCCTTTCAATATCCTTCCTCTTTCTTCAGCCTCAGGTTTTACTTGATTTTTGCCTACTGGCCTTTAATATACATAAATCACTCTCACCTTCATGGGGGGAAAAAAAGCAGCAGCCTCCACAGTCTGCTACTAATTCATCTTATTTGCTTCACAATCTTTTTTTTTTTTCTTCAGGTGTAGAATTTAGTGATTCAACACTTACATACAATACCCGGTGCTCATCACAAGTGCCCTCCTTAATGCCCACCACCCATTTAACCCATCACCCCACCAATCTCCCCTCTGGTAACCATCAGTATATTCTCTATAATCAAGAGTCTGTTTCTTGGTTTTCCTCCCGCCCACCCTTTGTTCATTTGTATCTTAATTCCACACAGTGAAATCATATGGTATTTGTCTTTCTCTGACTTATTTCACTTAGCTCCATTCAGGTCATTGAAAATGTCAAGATTTCATTCTTTTTTATGGCTGAGTAATATTCCAGTGTGTGTGTGCATGTGTGTGTGTGTATACACACACATCACACTACTTCTTTATCCATTATCACTTGATGGACATTTGGGCTTTTTCCATAATTTGGTTATTGTTGACAGTGCTGCTATAAACATAGGAGTGCACGTATCCCTTCAAATTAGTATTTTTGTATCCTTTGGGTGAGTATGCAGTAGTACAACTGCTGGGTCGTAGGGTAGCTCTAGTTTCAACTTTTTGAGGAACCTCCATATTGTTTTCCAGAGTGGCTGCACCAGCTTGCATTCCCACCAACAGCGTAGGAGGGTTCCCCTTTCTCCGCATCCTCGCCAACACCTGTTGTTTCTTGTGTCATTAATTTTAGCCATTCTGACTGGAGGTGACAACTCATTGTAGTTTTGATTTGTATTTTCCTGATAATGAGGGATAATGAGCATCTTTTCATGCTTCACAGTCCATCTTGAAAGACTTAACAATATCTTTCTCTGCTTCCAACCTCGACTCATACCTCACCCTACCATAGTTTTGATAACTATACCAGTGAAACTGCTAGCTAAATCACCAATAATTTTTCTGTTGTTAAAACCTTAATATTCACATTATTTGATCTGTCTATAGTATTTGATAACATCCACCACTTACCACTCAACAGTCCCTGGCTTTCATGACATCACACTGTAGGTTTTCTCCTGCCTCTATGGGTACTCCTAAGTCTCTATTGTGTGTTCTTCCTCTGGTTAGTTCTTAAACATCGATGTTCTTCAGCGTTCTGCCATTGGAATCTGTTTTCTTCTCATTCTATACCTCTTCCCTATAGCTTAAATTACCCTCTTAGTGCTGATAACTCCCAAATCCTACCCCTTAGCCTCGATTTTTACCACCTAAATCTCCCACATAAATATCAGCTTACAGAATATCTTCACTTGGATATTCAACAAGCATTTCAAATGTGACACATCCAATCTGCAATCATCCTTCTATCCAAACCCGGTTCTCAGTTATAAGTAACTGAGTTAGAAATGTCATAACATTTTCCAAAAATCTTTCCATTAAAATATATAAGCAACTTTACTTGTATAAAAACCATTAAAATCTTCCAAGGATTTTGAGAATGAATTTCTTCTATGTGGAGCACATGGGGAAGTAAAAATAAATAGGGACTCTGGAATTAGGTAAACCTTGGTTGACATTTCTAACTCACCACACAAAACTCATAGGTTAGCTAATACAATGCCACTTAATCTTGAAGCATCAATAAATACATAACTCCATAGCAGAACCATATAAAATGGTTGAAAAATCAGGCAATTCAATGTTTAAAAGGTCTTAATTTGCTGACACATAATATAAAGTGTTCTCACTAAATGGCATGAAACTAGCACCTGAATTCAAAAAGTTAAATCTTCAATATTTACAACTTTTTTAGGCAAGTAAATCACTGGAATTATTCTTCATTAAAGAGTATTTACAGGGTTTTATGGAGATTCAACAACCTAAAAAATTACACGTAACTGAGGATTTAAAATGTTTCCTCTAGGATAATAATATCTTGAAGTAAATTCAGTAAGTCTGACAGTCGACATATTTAACTGCTCATATACAGCATCCTCTCCTACACCTAACAGTATCAGTGATGATGTAGCATATGCATTTGACCCTTGCCATTATAAATAATTTTAATGGAATTCTATTTTCAGTATTAGTAATTCTTATTTAATAGAATTTCTTTTAGGTTCAACCCTGAAATACACACCTCCTATTTTATATGCTTGAAGTAGAGCTTAGGTATTCCTAAACTTATATTCCAACTTGTTAATAATCATCTGCCATCAGATTGTCCAGACATGTCATTTCATTTAGGGAAAATACATGGACACATCTAAGCAACTAAAGAGTTCAAAATCTGTAAGAGTAATTTTTGAGAATAGCACTGAATGAGACTATAAAGTATCTACCAAGAACTAAAGATTTGGGAAAGCTACATTTAGGATTTTAGGTGAGGGCCACAAAAGTTGGATTTTTTAACTGTGAGAACCTTACATATTAACCTAGCCTTTTTTACCACAAATACCAAAACTAAAATTATCAGGACAAATACAAAGCCAACCAACAACAGTTTCCCATCAATTTGCCAGTCGACCTGTAAGTGGTCAAAATTCCTCTGCTCTTCTCCCTTCCCTATACCTGGCTCCCGCTGCTATCATCCACACTGAACTTCAACACTCACCACTAGAAAGTCCGTCCTGCTCTCTCTGAAGTACTGACCAGGTGCCCTTTTTCATGCACTTCCTTGTCAGCGCGGCCCATGAAGCTCTATGAAGCTCTCTTACCACCTCAGAGCAGAGCTGGCTCTTCCGCTGTCCCCTTCACAGTATTGTGGGACCCGGGGAGTACTGATCACATTTATTCACCTTTGTATTCCCAGTATCTACAGCAGTGCACAGTATGACTCAAATAATGATAATTAAATAATGAAGCTTTTCAGTAAAAGTTTTTTTAAAAGAGCAAATTACTTGGTTTTGAAAACATTTCAGTTTAAAATATCATGAAAGGCATGTCTGCTCTATTTTTTTTAACCTAGCTCATGAAATCCTAAAACTGCTGAACTTCAAGGCCACCTGAGCCAAATGGAGTCCAGTAAATGAACACTTAAAATAATCAGAACTGTTGTTTCGGTAACATTTACATTCAAGAACAAAATTAAACTAATCACCACAGTAAGTTGTCTCTAAACTATTTAATCTCCATAGTTAAGAAGTTCTCCCCATGTCTACAAGGCTAAAGAAATCCCCCTTGAGGGATTCCATGTTAATATTTATTCTGTTCTCTGTAGAGACAGAAAAATAACCTTTCTTTATAATAATTAGTAATTAACCTTTTAGCCTCTGCTGCTAAAACCCCATTTCAGTATCTTTAATCTACTGACCTTCTCTCAGAAACATATTAACAAACACTTGTTCATTCTAAAGATATATGCATATATACAGGTATGTAATATGTATTCATATATATTTAAAAAGGAATGACTAACTGCATCTTCTAGATAGTGAAATGAAAACACATAGTTTACCTGATTGTTAAGGGCAAGTATTAAAAAAATCTCTTTAAAAGAATTTTGGCAAAAAACCCCAAAAAACCAAAAAACAACACTACTAGATGCAAAACTAATACTATTTCAAATAAATCTAGGTAAAAAGAAAGCCATAATTCAACAATTTCTAGTTCTCTTTGATATAATGCAATCTGCAAACACTGATAATTATGTGAGAGTTCTTATAATAAAGTATTAAACCTTTATTTTTTGGAAATGGATGCTTAGAATAATTTTCATTAAAACATCTTTTCAAATATTCAGATTTACTAACCCAATTAAGCATTTACACTTCACCCTTAACATTAAAAACAATAAACATATCTAATGTATGCACACAAATACAAATTTTTTAAGTTACAGTATTCACATCACCTACCTGTTCGTTTATAAATTGCTAATTCTTGTACAGTTTCCAAAAACTGCCAAAATTTTTCATTACTTTCTTCTGCCATAAATTCACTATTAAAATAAAAGTAATCAGTTAATAGACAGAAATGAAAAATGAAATGAAATGAGAAACTATACCTTAAAACCAAATTATACCTTAGGGTTAAAATAAAAACCTCCAAAAATTAAAGTGACTGATTTCCATTTACTATAATGCAGAAAGAGAACAAATTAATGATTCTTACATGAGATATCATTCCCAACTTACAAGCATATACTTGTGACTAGAAAAGATTGCACGAGAAATTACTTCTGGCTTTTCCTCATTATTAGCTATAACTAAGAAATGGATAATTTATTTTGTTTCTATACTATATAACCGTTTAGTTAACATACAGTGTTATATTAGTTTCAGGTGTACAATGTAGTGATTCAACAATTCCATACATCGCCCAGTGCTCATCACAAGTGTACTCCTTAATCCCCATTACCTAGTTCACGCATCCCATCTTCTCTCTGGTAACCACCAGTTTGTTCTCTACAGTTAAGAGTCTGTTTCTTGGTTTGTGTCTTTTTCCCTTTGCTCATTTGTTTCCTAAATTCTACATGAGTGAAATCATATGGTTTTTGTCTTTCTTTGACTTATTTCACTTAGCATTGTACTCTCTAGCTCCATCAATGTCATTGCAAATTACTGAGAAGTATAATTTAACAGTAATGGAGTGTTATATAAAGGTAAAGAAAAAAATAGACTGCCTATGTTTCACAACCAAAAACTGGTTTTATAAACATTTTTTAAAAATGTTTTTGGGGCGCCTGGGTGGCTCAGTTGTTTGGGTGTCCAACTCTTGATTTTGGCTCAAGTCATGATCTCAGGGTCCTGGGATCAAGCCCGGCACTGGGCTCTGTGCTGGGTGTGGTGGAGCCTACTTGGGATTCTCTCTCCCTCTGCCCCTCCGCCCCCACTCTCTCCCACGCACTCTCAAAAAATAATATCTATTATTTTTATTTAGCTACTTATTTGTATAGACAATCTTTTTATTATTTAAAACAGAAAATACCTTAATGAAAAAATTAATAGGAAGTTGGTGTATCGAATTAGGTCTTTGGCCTTGAAGCCCACTTTGATTGAGAGTGTAGGTCAGAAAAAATGACCAAAGCCATTTAAAACCTTAGGAGATAATGGGGACAAAAATAAATAAAAAATTAAACCTTTGGAAATAATTGAGAGGTTATTCAGTCCTATACAAAACAAAGTGCAAGACACCCAAAGGCAAGTAGATCCAACTATTTTTTTTTTAAAGATTTTATTTATTTATTTGATAGAGAGAGCGAGAGCAGGAACACAAGCAGGGGGAGTGGGAGAGGGAGAAGCAGGCTTCCCATGGAGCAGGGAGCCGATGCGGGGCTCGATCCCAGGACCCTGGAACCATGACCTGAGTCGAAGGCAGATGCGTAACGACTGAGCCACCCAGGCACCCCGAGATCCAACTATTTAAACTAGAAAGGGAACAGCCATCAAACAGATGATACAGATTTATCACCCATCTTATCTTTCTCTCTAGTCTCGGTAAATTTAAACTAGTGCTTAATAAAAATGGAAGGTATGAGGACATCCACGACACATGTAAAGTAATTCTTGTGAGTCTGGTCACTAAAAGGCAAAAGGAGGGGAGAAAAACTGGTTTATCCACATAAATATGATAAGCACAGGAATTGAAAGTAATGCATAAACAACTCTTGCTATTAATGGTGTCCAACTCAATGGCATTTAAAAAAAAAAAGAGAGAGAGAGAAGCTAAAAGCAGAAGAAACAATGGAATAAACAGGATGTGACCTGAAAAGGTCAAGGATGGTACAAAATCTTAAGCAGAGCAGGGAGCAACACTTCATACCTAACCGACTTGACTACAACTACAGACACACTCACATACTGTGCAACCACAGGCAAAACTTTTGTATGCCAGAATTTACACATTTAAGTATGATCCTTCCAAGTGTTCACCTTGAGAATGTATTTTCACACTTATTCCCTCAATATACCACTACTCTCAGCACTTTTGGAACTCTTCTGGAATTTACTTTCAGGGGCAATTTGCCAGTAACTCATTAATTTTAAAAGAGGAAATAAATATCCTTGAGAGATCATCGAAATCAGTTCCTCACCTAAAGTTTAAAAAGACACAAAAAACTAGCATTTCCAATTTGTTCACTTGTTTTAAACAATATTTAGCTCCAAATAACAGTGTTTCCCAAAAAAGTTCTACCACAGAGGAAAAAAGTGATCTGCAAAGAAGATAGGTTTATATGTATGAAAGAGCATGAAAGTAGTTATAAGTGAAATTCCAAAAAATATTTTCGTCAAGAGCAACACCAGGGGAATAAAATGCAGTTTTGATGTAGAAGTTACGTGTTATAAAAATTTAGCCTCATCAGTCTATAATTATCCCTAGCAAATAGTCCTAAATTATAAATTTCTTTAGGTAGGGGACATACCTCATTCATCTTTGCTCCCTACACAGTGCCCATCATAGGGCCATGCACCACTAGATAAAAGCTGTAGTGGGAAAGACTTTATATAACAAAGGACTTGCTGACAATTTATATTTGTTCACAGGTAAGTGCATGAGGGAACACTAAGCATCCCGTCTGGATAATGCCATAAGGACACCAGTTTCCACAGGTCAAGTATATTGTAGAGGTAATTCTGATGGTGGTCTGGAGAAGACACTACCTAATATAAGGTCCCTTCCGGTGAATCAACATTATTGGGCACCTACTTCTTTCGTACTGAGCCTTGGGAAAACAAGTATAACTAAGAAATACTCTTGGGGCCCCGGGGTGGCTCAGGCAGTTGGGCGTCTGACTTGATTTTGGCTCAGGTCATAATCTCAGGGTTGTGAGATCGAGCCCGTCATCAGGCTCTGCGCTCAGCGGGGAGTCTGCTTGAGAGTCTCTCTCCCTCTCCTCTGCCCCTCCCACTCATGCTCTCTCTCTCAAATAAATAAATCTTTAAAAGAAATACTCTTATTGCTTCTACCAAGCGAACACTTATTACTAATACTTACTGAGCACCTACACTGTACACTGTGCCTTGGCAAAATAAATGTAAATAAGAAATAATCTTATCCCTTGAAGCTCACATTTTTGCAGCAGAGGTTAGCATACATACCTTGCAATAAGAATTATTACAGAAGTATTGACCAAATGCTATGAGAACATACTAGAAAGACATTAGTTTTATCAGGGGATAGGATCAGCCAAAGAGAAAGTAATATGGTAGGTCCATAAATAAGGTGGCAGTGAAGAAAAGACTGTAGTAGAGTACTACATTGCCTTCCTAGGGCTACTATATCAAATTACTACAAACGTAGTGGCTTAAAACAAGAGAAATTTATTCTCACAGTTCTAGAGGCCAAAAGTCTAAATTCCTGGTGTCAGGGTTAACACAACAAGTTCCAAAAGTCAGGATCTTGATTTATCTTTTTTGGGCGGGCCACCATTCAAGCCACTATAGTCCACCCTGGGCTCCCCAGAATCCACATCTGTCTCACATACAAAACGCATATGCCCTATCTCAACAAGCCCCAATGTAATCTCAACCCATTAGAGGATCATCTCTAAGCCAAAAGCGCATGGAAATATCACCAGAAGTCTCACATTTCATCATGTAAATCATTTAAACCAGGTATAAGTGAGACACTGGGCATGCTCCATCCTGGGGCAAAATTCTTCTCCATATGTGGACCTGTGAACTAGAAAACAAGTTGTCTGCTTCCAAAATGCAGTGTTGAGATAGGCAATCCAAATTCCAAAGATAGACATTCCGATTCCAAAAGGGAAAAATTAGAAAGAATAAAGGAGTTACCAGTCCCATACGAGTTCGAAACACAGCAGGACAAATTCTATGAGGTTTCAAGCCCTGAAGGGTTTCATAATCCTCAGTGGTTTATTGCTCTACTCGCTGTGCCACCTGCCATGGCTCTGCCCTCAGTCTCTTGAACGGTAGCACATGTTTGCCGCCAAGTAGTGTATCAGCCAATTTCCTGCCTATGGAATTTTGAAAGTCTGACAGCCCTGTCTCATTTCATCCTGTCTCTGTCTCTTTTGTATGAGCTGGCAATGTTTCTGCTGATACAACGTAATAAAAATCCTTGTAAGTCTCTTGTAGGTCTCACCAGGGTCATGCCATTACAGAAAAACCCTCCACAGATCCTTCCTGCATAAGCCCACCTCTATTCCTGGCTTCTGCTGAGATGGTTGAGTGGACCCATGAGTCAGATGCCAAACCTAATTAGAAAAAGACTGTCCAGCCCTTTATGTGGTCTTCTTTCCAGAGCATGCATTCCCAACACTGAGTTTCCTCATTTCAACACTCTTTGCAATCTGGACAGGTGGAGAAGCTCCCAAGTTATAAAGTCCTGCCTTCCTTTTTCCTTAACAGCTCCTTCTTCAGTTTCTCTTTCCTCTTGCATTTTACTATAAACAAGGAGAAACCAGGAGACACTTTTAATGCTTTGTAGGAAATCTCCTTAGTTAGCTATCCAAGTTCATCACTTACAAGTTCTGTTTTCCACACAACTATAGAATCCAATTCAGCCAGCTTTCTGCCACTATAAAACAAGGATCATCTTTGTTTCCAATAACAGGTCCCTCATTTCCTTCTGAACTCTTACTAGCAGTGCCTTTAATGTTCTTACTTCTACCAACATTCTACTCATGAGGACATAAGTATTTCCTATGACAGAAGCTTCATCCCGATCACACTCCCTGCTTTCCTCTAAGTCCTTAGCAAAATCACCTTTAATGTCCCTATTTCCGCCAACAGCCTCCTTAAGGCAAACTAGGCTTTTTACCATATTTCTCAAAACTCTTCCAGCTTTTCCTTGACTTACCAGCTACTTCCATATTTTTAGCTATTTGTTACAGCAGCACTCCACATTAAGTTATCAAGTCTGTACTGGTTTCCTAGGGCTGCTGTAATAAACTGCCAAAAACTTGGTAACCTAAAGCAACAGAAACTTATTGTTTCACAGTTCTGGAGGCCAGAAGTCCAAAATCAAGGTAGTGGT